CTGCCACCACGAGACCAAAGGTCAAAAYTCTAAAATCCCAGACATTATTATCTATTGATACAACGCGAATTTATTAATAATCATTATAAATTATTTAATACAATGAATTACGTTTCTTTATGCATACATTTCCAGTAAACATCCATGAGAATTTTCCAACGCCGTTGTTATTTGTTATTTTGACTGACTGCATGTTTTCAATCTGTATAATATATCAAGCGGGATGTGTGTTTGTGTCTGTCAGCTTATGAGTCTATGTTAGTGTGTTCACTAATATAATAATATGTTATATCGCCACCTCTTAATAATCTCTGGATTATACCAATGAAACTCGTTCTGGTAACCCATAACAGAATAATAATTGTTCATCCCCGCGTATCGGAAACGGCGTTCCCCTTATAATACCATAAATAAACATGATATTTAACAGAAGTGCAAGTRTACCGTTAAACAACAACATTTGCATGTAAAATTCGTTATGTATTTTGTACTTTATTATTTTATTACACTCGAGAGATGCATCCTGCCGCAACTAATTCAGTCGTAATATTATTATTATCGTATCACAGTGAAATATTATACAATAGCAACTTAATTTATCAGAGTCCGAATTTATCATGTTATATTTTTATCACCTACTTAAAATATTGTGACTTGAAATATATTTTTCTTATTATCTTATATTTTNTTTAAAATTGATAATAAGTCGATTCACTAAAATATTGTAACTAGACTTTGCGACTTCCACCATTAGCGTGATATTTTTGAACGGTTAAATAAATATAAATGACACTTTACAACTATATTTGAAATATRTAAGAAATCTTAATTCAAAATTGTATTTGTGTTATAATTTATTTATTTATAATTAATGAAACCGCTATGCTTAATAAGTATTGTTGTAAATATTGTAGATAGTAATTGTCAATATAATATTATTTGATACATATTATGTAAAATAAGCGGAAATATTTTAATATTAAGATAAGTAAAATTAGCGAGGCAGCTAAGTTACATGTGCTAAAGTGACAATAATATTTTCCTTTATAATATCGTCACACGTGCAGGCACGGGTAGTCCCGTTGTCACCGAGTGATTCGAATAGAAAGTAGGTATGACGATTTTACACGTGAATCAATGGTTGTACACTGTACAGGATGAGTGTTAGAATTATTGTTAATTTTAAGTTTTTTTACACTTAGGTAATTAAAAGTATTTCCAACCTGTAAAACCATTGTTTGTATATTATTCAAAGTCTTCTATGTTCTTATATTTCAATAGGAACAGTACTAGTATATTATGTGTACGCCTACATTCCTAAAATCAATGAAATTTACTTAAACCGAATAGTCTTCCGGTTCATGAGATAACTATAGTCAATGAGGTTTTCTTAAATTCTAAAGCACTCTGTATCTGAGGCTCTAACAGTAATTCTATTATTGTTGGAACGGATGAAAAATCGACGAGTGCATACTGCAGTACCTTAATAAAGCTAACAGTGCTAATCTGAATTTAGTCTGCTGAGAGTCATTACTCATTAGCATAGAGCGTACGAATATAAGGTGTATGGTAAGTGTTATCGTGATTCACTCAGAACGGGTGATACCACTGCAGTATAGGTACCTAGGTAACTAATATCGATGTTAAACGTGCAGAAATAATAAATTCCTCTTACGACTTACATACGTAAAGATCGTCATTACAATATGAGTTTTCTAAAATATATTACAAAATATGGTCGAGTTACCTACCTAATTAATTTTTTTTGTATTGGCTGACTTTTTACAAGGATGGATACAATTTATATTATATTTTAATATTGATCGCATCAAATCGTGGTACAATAATATGACGAGATTTTGTTTTGGCACATATATGTTGCATTTTTTGATATAGTTGCCATAATCCATTATGGAACGAAAATTTAGTCGAAATACCAACATGGTCTATTTTACTCGTTAAAATATAATATTTTTAGTTTCTCGTTTTATTTTTCACATGTTCTTTTTATTGTGTGACGTTGCAACCCACTGCTGCAGCCAGCCGGCCGGCGTGATGTAATATTGTTGTTTGCGACCAGCCAGCAGTGTGGCTGTCGTTATTGCATATCATATTCGTATCAGTGTTTGTATTTCGATTAACCGTTTTTGTGTAATTCTTATTGTTTCGTACTTCGTACGGGAATTTTTCGTTGTATTCAGTGTGTCTTGCTTATGAAACTTTGTTTTTTATTTTTTTGCTGCTAATCGAGCTGTGCGGTGTTCCAGCCAGTAGCGAAAACGGAAATTTTAATCAACAGCTTTAGCGTAAAACGAACCACATGCGACATTAACTTCATTAGCGGAAAACGGATTCCAGAGAAATATGAAGAAAAAAACAGCTGTTTTGGTTGATTTATCAGCCGCCTATGATACTGTTTGGCATACGCGTTTAATGACAAAAATACTCAAATTGTTTCCATGCCTTACTCTATATAAATTATTGAATGACATGCTGAACAATCATATGTTTCCAGTTAACTTAGGACAGATTCAAAGTAAATTACGCCACCTAAACAACGGCTTACCACAAGGTTTTGTCCTTGCCCCGATCTTCTTCAACCTCTACTGTAGATAGATTAAATGATCATATGATTGACTTACACAATTTGAAATATCCAAACCAACATTATTTWAAAAAATATTATGCCATCACACAGTGCTTGAGCATTTAAATCGTTCAATTCGACAAAATATAAAAATCTTTCTTTAATTTTTAAATTGTGTAAATATCGAATACAAATACTCATTTGTTCAATTTTTGACTGATCTCTAGCCTCATCTACAATTATTAAACTAAATATCTGGCTCCCAATATGAACTTCATTTACTGTTTTGTAATACAAGCTTTGATGTAGCTTTTATTGTATCATTATCGTCATGACGAGAACACAAACTTGCATCATAATTTTYASWATTGAATTCTTCTTTTCTTTCTCTTCGATGTTCTCGTAGTCCGATATCTTGCCGTGCACAATATAAAACACACCTTATTACACTTGTTAAAATAGCTCAATTTTTTATAACTTGCTCYTTGACTTGTTTATTTATTTGAGTCGAAACTGATCCAGTTTTTTTGGTTGATAGCCTAGCGCCATATTTAGCAATTGCATTTTTATGTGAAGTAGTATTATCATGCTTTTTAGTCATGTYACTTATATTTTTCCAATCGGAATAGCCACCAGTAATTAGAACATCTTCTTGCGAATGAAAAGGAAAATGGTGACAATAATAACAAAATACGGCATTCATCTTAATTGAGTATTCCAACCATGGGTACTTATTGTATACCAACTGCTTTGAAAGCTACGTTGCTTCCCATATATAAAAGTACGAGAAAAACTGATAACAGGTTGTACAGCGGTATCCTCACAAGTTACACTTATATCAAAAATGTTTAAATTCAACTGTTTATTTGTATCTGATATTGGCGCATGCGCACTTSATCCAGGGTCATTAGGTTCCAAAACAGTTGAAACAGCAGTTGATTTTAAATTACCTGATGTGATTAAAAAACGTTCCATTTTTCGAAAACGAGCAACGCAACAGATAATGAAAAAATAAAAGCGAAAATATAATCACTGCGTTGTACTAAAGGCGTTCGGAGTGACACAGTGCGATTAGTATTAAAATAATCGACTATCGCAAGCGTATCTATCCGACTACAACTTATATTATTACCATCTCGTTATTTTTGGAAATAATCGTCAATTTAATGGATAAGATTAATATCTATCATATTGTAGGTAACGGGAAATACGGGCTGTCGGGCTATAATATAATATTATTAATATTATATTATACACTGGCTTTGATGCACTATATTTAATTTCGACGGATGCCGATTAACAGGATTTGATCGGTTATTAAACCACAACACTCAAAACCATCAATATTTAATTTTGTTAATTAAAACCGTATTTACAATATATTAATTCTATTATTTTAAATACATATTATAGTTATATACCTACACTACATATTTAATAGGATGACATTTWTTTTTTTGGAAAAAAGTGGTTAGGCCTGTGCCTACCAGGCCCACCCGCTAGCTACGCCACTGCCTCTACACATTTGATCTGCCAGCTACATTTTCCTGTAAGTTCATCTATGMTRATGATATCACACTGGCTACACAACACAATAAGTTTGAAGTTACCGAGGAAATACTAACAAATGATCTAAAACTAATATCAAATTATCTACATAAATGGAGCTTATACCTAACACAGATAAAACTATAGTGACTACATTCCACTTAAACAATCGATTGTCAAAATACAAGCCCCAAATTAAATTTGGAGGAAAAAGCTTGATTACGATCCGACCCCAAAATATCTAGATGTGACGCTTGATAGACAGTTAACTTATAAACATCATATCGAAAATACTGCTGCTAAATTTAAAACTCGAAACAACATTATTCAGAAGCTAGCTGGCTCATCCTGGGTGGCAGCAATGCCCACTCTGAGAACGTCGGCCTTGGCGCTAGTCTATACTGCCGCAGAATATGCTTTCCCAGTATGGTTAAATAATTCGCACTGTAGCAAGGTCGAGGTTCAATTCAATCATTCCATACGTATTATCTCTGGTACTGTGAAATCGACCCCAACAGAATGGCTTCCAGTCCTCTGCAACATTCTTCCGCCACATATCCGGCGTAAAAAAGCTGCATGCAGTGAATTGTTAAAATATTTATCAAATAAATCCCTCCCATAACATCAAGACACGTCAAAACAGAATCTTAGACTAAAATCTAGAAAACCTGCTTATCTAACTACAACTCATTGATAACCAGTATAATGGTTTGGATGATTGGAAACTATAATGGCAGAATTTTGCTGTAGATAACTATAGCCTAATAAAAACCTGGATATGCTAGTTCCTGAAAAATAGTTAACCTGTGATGAGTGGGTAACACTTAATTGCCTTCGTACAGGACATGGTCGCTCTGGAGAGATGCTACATAAATGGAAAATGAGAGATAACCCAAACTATRACTGTGGCCACCCACTTCAGTCCATCTCCCATATAATAAGTGACTGCCCACTCCACGCATTTAACGTGAAAGAACTCCACAAAGCAGGCGACAACGCGATCAATTGGATAAGGATACTTGACATCCAACTTTAGACTACTTAACTAATTGTCAACATAAAAAAATTAGCCATAACATTAATTTTAAAGTTTAATAATATTGTCTTATTGTTGTGTGAATTATTTATATATTTCTGTATCTAGTTTGTAATGCTTGCATATTATACCTACCATACGATAATAATAATAAAAATAGTAGTAAAAAATCAGGYTTTCATTTGAAAAAAAAGAAGTCAGCATCACCTACATTTATAAGACTATGATTGAATGTTAAATTATTGTAATGTTTATATTACTTGTTTATAGGTGTAATTATATGCAACCTCTATCAGAAACATTAAAATAGCATAGCTATATGGCAAATTVGGCAATACACTTGCTTTACTGCTAGAAGCAAAATATTTGAATTAATTTATGAACATCAATTTTATATCTGATAATTGTATGTATGTATACATGCATAATATACCTATGTATCTATGTAGGTATGTTTTTTGTATTTCAGGTAATAATAATTAATGATTGACTGMAACTGGACATCTGCATGGCAACGATTTATGGCAATTGTATTTTCATTCATTTATGTAATTAAAAAAAAAAATTGTTTGAAAATGAATTGAWGTAATAGTCATAAAACTATTCATTGAAAAAAGAAATTTGGTATTTACAAATAAAGCCATTTTATATACATTTATAATATCGATCATTTTTGTTGAAATCATTGTTAGATTTCTTTGAATACTTTTTACTTACGTATATACTCCCGTCTCAGGTACATGCCAAATCTGTACTCCATCCATATATGTGTCATTAACCACTATCACAGAAACAGTAGTATTTGTGTATGCAGCTTCGCACGATCGATTACTAGGGCCCAGTCTACCTTTTGATCCACAAGTTGTAAATTTATAAACTGGAAATAAAAATTGGTATTTATATTATTATACATTTTTGTATTGTATCAATTAAAATATATACATATATTAAATACATTTAATATGAAAAATATATTCCATACATAATAGTAGTACTTGAACTTCACTGATGTAAGTACTATGTAATATGTACCTAGGTACCCCTGAGTCTGTACCTAGGTACCCCTGAGTCTCGAGCTTTAAAACGTTCAGTTTTAGTTTAAAGATAATAAAAAAATAGATGATGGAAATAATTATATTACAACGAATAAACGAAAAATTTAGAACAAATATTCAATATTGTAATAGGACATTATATATCTACTACAGTTGAAAATGTGTTAAAGATAGTTTCAGAACTATATATTATATTAAAGTAAAACACACCTTAATACTGTTGAAGTTAGTATTTATTTACTGTCGAGGTTGGGTGAATAATTTGAAAAAAAAAATCACAGATGAAATAAATAATAACATTTTACTCGGAACTGCAAAAACGYGATTATCAAAATCTAAAACAAAATCACAAAGACACCAGTCCATATAATATGGTATGATTGTGAAGGGTTGTGATCGTCACACAAAGACCCTGTTCTGGAGCTGAAACTCAATGAATCTATTTAAAAATAAACCTCATCAGAACTCTTATTAAACATTTTAGAATAAGAAATTGACGCTTATTTTCGAAATTACTAGATCGTCCATATATTTTTGATACTTGGGTTGTATAAAATTTGTTTTTYAATATTTAATAATGAGCCTAACTATAAATTATACATTATTTTTTAAATATTCTTGGATATTCACATATTCAGAAACTAAATTAGAACAAACATATTTGTTTTTTTCCATAAATCAAACCTTGTCTGAAAATGAAATAAAATCATAAAAATATTACAGAAAAACTGTGTATTCAGCTCAAAAACATCAATATTTATGTTAAAATATTACCTTTATCATAGATATACAAAAAAATCTAAACAATAAATATACACAGCTATCTTGTATAGACATTTTAAGCTAAAACATCGACGAAATTAAATATTTGAWGCAACAATAACGATTTTAGTTATTTTGTTGTGATTTAAAATTACTACTCGTGGGTACTTGAAACTTTTAGAATATATTGTTGTATTGTAGGTTCAAAAAAATATTCTGCTCCTTAATATAATGAAATTATATTTGTCACGTAATCTTTAAAAAGGTTGCCATACAAAATTTAGACATAAAACATTATAAAACCATATTTTTTTTTTGAAAATTTTGTTTTTCAATTACATCTTAATATTATTATTTAAAATTTTTTTTCTAAAAGAGTTTCAAATTTCAAAGTCATGCGATTCTATATTTAAATAAATAAAAAAATGTATGATTTATAAATATCAAAGTTGTTTGTTAAAAAAAAAATAATAATAATAATAATAGTATAAATAACAATATCAAAAACAAAAGTAATAATAAAAATAATATACTCTTTCGAAAAACGTAAGTGACGTATTTATTTTTTAGTAAATTGGGTAGGTGCGTTTCTCAGTTCCAGAAACACATACAAAGTTTGAATTTATTTTCATTTGAAATTCAATGAAATTCAATTACGAAATAGGAAAAAAAAGGGAGGTCGCTATTTAACATTTCCACCGACCGCTCACGGAATGATATAATATAAATAGGTATCGTAATATTAAAACGGTTTGTCACTTCCACCGCTGCCACCACGAGACCAAAGGTCAAAAYTCTAAAATCCCAGACATTATTATCTATTGATACAACGCGAATTTATTAATAATCATTATAAATTATTTAATACAATGAATTACGTTTCTTTATGCATACATTTCCAGTAAACATCCATGAGAATTTTCCAACGCCGTTGTTATTTGTTATTTTGACTGGCTGCATGTTTTCAATCTGTATAATATATCAAGCGGGATGTGTGTTTGTGTCTGTCAGCTTATGAGTCTATGTTAGTGTGTTCACTAATATAATAATATGTTATATCGCCACCTCTTAATAATCTCTGGATTATACCAATGAAACTCGTTCTGGTAACCCATAACAGAATAATAATTGTTCATCCCCGCGTATCGGAAACGGCGTTCCCCTTATAATACCATAAATAAACATGATATTTAACAGAAGTGCAAGTRTACCGTTAAACAACAACATTTGCATGTAAAATTCGTTATGTATTTTGTACTTTATTATTTTATTACACTCGAGAGATGCATCCTGCCGCAACTAATTCAGTCGTAATATTATTATTATCGTATCACAGTGAAATATTATACAATAGCAACTTAATTTATCAGAGTCCGAATTTATCATGTTATATTTTTATCACCTACTTAAAATATTGTGACTTGAAATATATTTTTCTTATTATCTTATATTTTGTTTTAACTGATGCATGTAATCACTCGTTCTTATACGTCCAGCTATCTTTTAACTGCGATTCCCGGACTCATGCATTAATTTCTTAAAAAAGTTTAACACTTGATAATTGATCGAGTTGGGGAACCAACTTGAGAACTCGTGAATCCTCCTGTACGAACTTCGTCAACCTGTGCTCTCGTTGCCCAGTCCCACTGCCCTTAAGTTGTATCTTTTTTGAATTTAAAATGTACCTGTACTAAAATAACTATAATAATTTATAAGATTATCTAAGCCTTAGATAATCTTATATCTTATATCGCTACGCTAAGAATCTAATATTTGATTTTAATTTTCCGTCCTATCACCATGCGGCCTTTCGCGTACCACCATAGAGTCTTTCACGTACGTGTGGTACGCATACCACAGTTTGAGAACCGGTGATCTAAGGATAAGATTAAGTTACAAATATTGAATAGAACAAAATATAACSATAAGATATTTCACATACACACACACAAATATTAGATATAAGGAGCTGAGTTTTCAGTTATGCTGTCATACGTGTAATTACTGTCTTTTTGTAAAGACATTCAAAGGMGAGTTTAAAAGACTACACGGATCGTTTATGCAGAAAGATGTAATGCTAAAAGTCTATGTTTAGCTTGATAAATTAAAATTAATGTATATTGTTGTTTGCTTATAAAATTAATAACAGTGAACTAGCGCAGTTTACGAGTTGTGTCCCGACCAAATTTCTCGTTCAGGAGTTGTGTACAAATGATAAAAGTCGGATACATGAATTGTGTCCTAACTGTTTTATGAAGTTTTACACAATTTGTGYGCAGATAAATTTAAATCGATATTTTACACAAGAATAAAAAATGTTATTTTGTTAATTTAAATAAAAAAAGTTTTTTTAAATTCAGATCGAGAAATTTTTCCATTTCAATGTTGTATAAAATACACCAACATATATTTTATAAGATATTTACTGAATAACATACGATTCTGTCCATTATTACTATCGAGTGGAGATTAGATATGCATGACTACGCCGATTGTCATTGTACATGTGTGCTTATCTTGATTATTGATTATATACTATATTAGGATAACGAACTATACATTATATATATATATATATATAACCATACTCGGATATTCCAATATCACGTTTGAATTTTCAACGAAATATAATAATAGTAACAAAATATCAAGCGATCAATTTACTAGTCAGTTAAACATCAACTGTCCACTATAGAGCAAATGACAAGTGAGAAGAACAAAATGCTTTTGGTAATTGATGGTTACAAGTTTTGTTTCATACATTGTTAAAGTCCGATTTTTAAAGGTGGAGATGTACTAAAACGTCATGTAAGTCTTTTATAAAAATTAATAACGTCAATGAAATAATTGAACGCAAAATTAATCATAATCATGAAAAACTTGAAACATCTGTTCTGAATAGACGAAAAATGAGTAATGTTTTAAAAAGAATACCTACAGTTGATGTGTGTGAGAGATCATGCAAATTAATTCACAATGAGTTACGAAAGGATGACCTAGAAACACTAACTTCCTATGGAATTTCTCATATTCGTGACAATATGTACGAAGTTTAAAATCATATTTTACCAAACCTACCAAAATCCATTTTAGATGTACATGATATAATTGAAAATTTACAAATTATATCGAACCGAAAATAAAATAGTATATTTATTTTATTAACGATCGTAAAAATAATATTATTGGATTTTCTTGTTCTACGAATTTAGAATTACTGACTAAATCATAAAATGTGGTTCTCTGACGGCACATATTTTAAGAGTGCCCCAACATTTTTTTACCAAATGTTCAAAATACATACTATTAAAAATGAACAATATATAAAATTATGATTTATATGATTGCCAATAAAAGACAAGAATCATATTTCGTAGCTTTTGAACATATAAACAAATATTTTTTTGATTTAAATGTAACATTAAATGTACAGCGTATCCTTGTGGATTTCGAAATAGCAATACACTCTGCTATCACTGATGTGTGGCCAAAAATATAAATTAAAGGTTGTCGCTTCCATATCGCAGTCAGAGCTAGARGCGAAAAATTTAAGAACTCGGTTTATCTATTGAATATAAGGATCAATCCTCTGAAAAAAATTTTTAAAGTACGTTTTTGTTTTATATTTTCTCAACCCAAATGAAGTAGAAAATGAATTTATGTTTGATCTAATGTCTTGAAGTGTTTCAAATAACTCCGATGTTCTAAAATTCACAACTTACTTAATGGATAACAACTATGTCATAAATTATGCTTCATTTCCTCATCGTGTATTGTAAGAACCATGAAATTCAATGCTAAAACAACTTACTAACCATTCTGAAGCATTTCATTCAAAGTATAATTCTGTTTTATTCAAGACATCCCAATAAATTTAAATTTACTAAGATGATAAAGAATTTGCAATCTGATGTTAACATTAAAATTAGAAGTTCTGAATAATTATCAAAGATAACACGTTAAAAACATTTATTTATTAGTCAAAAATTACAATGGACAAATTTCACGATTTGAATTTATAAAAACAGTATCATTTAATTTTTTTCTTTGTATGTAATTT